AGATGCTCCACGGATGGAGAGCGGTTCCTTTTCGAAAGGGCCCTCGCGCCTGAGCTTTCAGAGTGCATGGACAGCAGCGCAGACACGTGCAGGAGCTGCACAGACGGGGGACGGTGCTTTCCGAAACGGGGACCTCGCTGGACACCTCCCTCGCTGAAATGTGTGACCAGACTTTGTCGCACTACTTACTATTCGCTAGAGTACAGTCGGGGCGTTGACCTAAGGAACCCTAAATAAGGAACGAGGCCCCTTTTTTCCATAAGTTAAACTTCGAAGTCCGATCGAAAACATAGGAAAACCTGAGGCAAGCTGTGACACACTTAAGGAACGCGGAGCTCCTCCCCAACGGAAAGGGTTCCTTCTTCAGGGCCCCGACTGTACTTTGTCGCACTACTTACTATTTGCTAGAGTGCTGCAAGGCAGCTCCCTTGCAGGACGGGGCTCTCGCCAGAACGACAAGCTCAGCCGGTGCTGGTCCTTCAAGATGGGGCACTTCTTGCTGTGTAGAGGGAAACTTGTAAAAACCTATGAGAAGAGGAGTTGGGACAGAAGGATGTATTCCAGCATCGTTGATGCATCGTGGGTTTACTCTGGTCCTCCTCCTCATCCTCCTCCTCTTCATCATCATCAGCAGCAGCATCATCAGCATCATCAGCATCATCATCACCATCATCATGATCTTCACCATCATCCTCATCATCATCAGCAGCATCATCATCATCAACATCGTAAGAATAATCATCATCATCAGCATCATCATCATCGTCAGCATCATCATCATCATCATCATCATCATCATCATCATCATCATCATCATCATCATCATCATCATCATCATCATCATCATCATCATCGTCGTCGTCGTCACCCGTCTCCTCGCTACCTGCCTTCCGCTGTCTCTGGCAACATGTATCTGACATCAAAAAGTGAGAGAGAAGAGAGATAGTCCGGGCAAGACATCCCCTCTCTTCCCCTCCCCCCCATCTCTGTTCTCCTCCTGAGGAAGAAAAGGCAGACGAGCAAGAGGAGGAGAACGGGGGGAGGAGCTGGACGAAGAGGAGGATGAGCAGCAGGAGAGCAGCAGGAACGGATGCAATGCACCGCATGTGCCAACACTGTGAAAGCCCCGATTGTCGCCGCGCCTGGCGTCGGTCACACCCGTTACGGGGCGGGAGGGGGGGCGCGCAACGAGGGACGAAGGTAAGCTGAAGGCAAGAGAAGGACAAGTTCGGATGAAGATACATCGGAATCTCTGAGCGCTGGCGGGTCTGGAGGATGTATCGGGCGCCGCGGCCGTCTCGGAGCGCTCCAGAACACTCTTGAGGGCGTGCTGTAACGCTCTGGAACGATTTATGCTAGTCCCCAGAGATCCGATGGCTTGCCTTTGTAGATACAGGGACTGGCTTTTCATCGTAAGTCGTTTCTGACCGGAAAAATATGTTTTCGAGTTTTCAAGCTGATATTCAAGGAAGCTGGCTCGTCGCATTCTGAGCACTACTTCGCGTGTCAAGAGCTCTACGAGGGTCCCGGCGGTAACCTGGTTGACGGTTTACCGCCGGCTCCCAGTTATGTTAGTCCCCAGAGATCCGATGGCTTGTCGGGGCGTTGACCTAAGGAACCCAAAATAAGGAACGAGGCCCCTTTTTTCCACAAATTGACCTTCGATTTCCGATCGAAAACAGAAGGAAAACCCGAGGCAAGCTGTGAAACATTTAAGGAACGTGGAGCCCCTCCCCAACCAAAAGGGTTCCTTCTTCAGGGCCCCGACTGTAGTCCCCGGAGATCCGATGGCTTGACTTTGTAGCTACAGGGGCTGGCTTCTCACCGCGAGCCGTTCCTGACGGCCCTGGAGCCCGTCGAGAACCTCCAGAGGCCGAGCGCGGCCAACAGAACTCTCCGCCTCGATGTCTCAGTGCCTTGGAGGTCTGGGCCCCAGGCATGCCCGTCAAGTGCAAGCTCACTACAGGGCAGGTTTTAATGCATACGATTTTAGAATTATCCTGGCGAAGGACCCAACCATATGCAATTGTGAGTACCGCAATTGTGAATATCTTCTTCGGTGGCGCTCCCTATGGGGCCACGAAACGTGTGAAGAGTATGCCGAAATGGGTGTGACGTGCGGGACGCATCTTCTTCGGTGGCGCTCCCTATGGGGCCACGAAACGTGTGAAGAGTATGCCGAAATGGGTGTGCGGGACGCATGCGGGCACACCCACTGGGGCCTTCGGTGGAGCTCCCTATGGGGCCACGAAACGAGTGAGGGGTGTGCCGAAATGGGTGTGCGGGACGCATGCGGGCACACCCACCGGGACCTTCGGTGGAGCTCCCTATGGGGCCACGAAACGCGTGAGGGGTGTGCCGAAATGGGTGTGCGGGACGCATGCGGGCGGCAGCACTGGGGCCTTCGGCGGAGCTCCCTATGGGGCACGAAACGTGTGAGGAGTGTGCCGAATTGGGTGTGCGTGACGCATGCGGGCGGCAGCACCGGGACCTTCGGCGGAGCTCCCTATGGGGCCACGAAACGTGTGAGGAGTGTGCCGGTGCGTGACGCATGCGGGCGGCAGACTGGGGCCTTCGGCGGAGCTCCCTATGGGGCCACGAAACGTGTGAGGGGTGTGCCGAATTGGGTGTGCGTGACGCATGCGGGCGGCAGCACTGGGGCCTTCGGCGGAGCTCCCTATGGGGCCACGAACGTGTGAGGGGTGTGCCGAAATGGAGGAGGAGGGAGGGAGGAGGGGGAGGAGGAGAGGAGAGGAGAGGAGAGGAGAGGAGCGGAGAGGAGAGGAGAGGAGAGGAGGAGGAGAGGAGAGGAGAGGAGAGGAGAGGAGAGAGAGGAGAGGAGAGGAGAGGAGAGGAGAGGAGAGGAGAACGCGGGGCGACGTCTCTTCAAAACGAGGACCCAACACCACAGGATGGTTGGGACATATATGATTTATAGTACATGATTCATTAACTAATAAATCAATGCATAAATTCATCATTGTTTTTTATACTAGATCCGTTTACTTCTAAATACATGATCCGCACGCGGAGCATGTGTTAAAAACGGCACTGTGCGATGGATGCTTTCTCTCGCTCCCCAACGGGCAGGCGTCGCAAATTCGGGCCTGTGCGCCTGGAACGCTCAGGCTTCAAATCAAACTGCTCCCTCAGAGGTCTCCCAAATGGGGTTCCGAGCAGATGGGGCCGGAGAATCGCGCGGCATCGCCGATACTATAGGGGAACAAAGTGTGGCATAAACATAAAAAAAACTCGGCGGTCCGCGCGGATTTCTCGGATCGGCGCTGGGGCCCCCCGGCGGCGCCTCCGGCGCCGCCCCTGGCGCGCCCCGCGCGCCAGGGAGGGGGGGTCCAGCGCCGATCCGAGAAATCCGCGCGGACCTCCGAGTTTTCATGTTTACGCCACGTCAGCGTGGAGAAAACCGGGCTCCACATCGAGCCGCATCACCGATGGATCGGCGAGGCGGCGCGATCCTCGGACTGCACCCGCTCTGACCCCGTCAGGGAAGCCCGGGTTCCTACAATGTACAGTACACGCGTGCAGCGTGTTCCGAACAGGCCGAGCGCGCGCGCCGGCAGCGGCGTGCCCGGCCCTGGATCTGGCGAACGAGTGACTCTCCGTTGGCGGCGCGCAGGAGGGGGCCGGGGCGAGGGGGGGGGAAGGGGGACCCTCTCACAAAGGCGGGGGCCCTCTTGGAAGCTCCCCCGCCGTCTGAGATTTGGACGCCCGAAATGGGTACGGAAAGAATGGGCACAATGCCCAACAACAAATGTTGTCCCAAACCAACAGCGGCCGCTGTTGGGCAGGCGGCCTTCTGTCTCGAATGGACACAGGCCGCGGCGGCGTGGACAGCGAATCCTGTTCAAAATGAACACGAACTGCTGTTGGGCATTGTACCCATTCTTTCAATACCCATTTCGGGCGTCCAGATGAGAAGCCTTCTCACGGGCCTCCGACCCCTGCTGAAAATGCCCACGACCAGCCAAGGCTCGCCGATGTCGAGTCTCGGGGCCCCGGGCCCCTCGACCCCATTCCCCGGGGCCAGCTGTGCATCCCGAGCCGCTTTCTGTTGGCCCCTGGTGGCCCGAGGACGGCCCCCAGGAGGCCGAGAACGTCGAAACTGGTCGGGCTCCATAGAGCTTCGAGTCTCTGGAGGCCTGGGTGAGAAGGCCCCCCGGGGCCCTCCGGCCGGGAGGACGCGAGGCTCGTGCTCGGGGGAGACTCGAACTTAAGTCCGCAGGAGCCGTCCGAAAATGGCAGGGCCGAAGCTGAAATTGGACGCGAAATCTCGCGTCCAGAATCCCACGAAAACTGGACAGTCAACACTCATGCCGGGGCCGTCGCAGCGCGGCGGCAGGCACCCCCCCCCCCCGCCCCGCCCCCTGTCGGCACGCCGCCACAGCTTTTGCACAGGCGAGGGCTGGCCGGCGCGGACGGCAGCGCAGCCGCGGGGAGAGGCGGGATCGGCCAGCACCGAGTGAGGAGATCGCGGGGCACAGGTGGACTTAAGTCGGGCGTGTCCTACAGAGGGATTTTCGACGAACACCGAACATATTCAAAAAATAGTGCAAAAATTGTCCAGGGACTGTTTTTCGGGTATTTTTTGACCTCTTTGGGGCATTTTTGAAATATTTTTTGAAATTTTCGTCGAAAACCCCCCTGTAGGGGGACACGCCTGACATAACATCAGAAGGACGCCGAGGTCCACCATGGAGGGAGGCCCGCCACGGCGCTCACGCTGCCAGACTGCCGAGCGCGCGCGTCGCCCGCAGCAGAGCAGTGATGCTCGGGCGGTGCCGAGCTCGGGTCGAGCTCGACGTCGGGGCGGATCGGGCGCGGTGTCGGCGTCGAAGCGGAGGGGCGACATGATCGGGTGGCGTGGTCGGTCGGGGTTGCGGGGACGGTTTATATGCGTGTATATATATATACATATATATACACATATATATATATATATATATATATTATATATATATATATATATACGTATCCATACCCACTGCGTCTTGGACATTCTGGGCGGGGGCGCCCACAGGCCGCGGCGCAGAGGACGTGGATAAAAGCTTACCTCCGAGGGTGAAGCTGCTCCGTCCGTATCCACGGCGCCTCCGGCATCGGCGGAGGGGCGCCCGAGCACCCAAGACGCAGCGGATGTGGATGAGCATCTTGCCCGCAGGCGCGGGGCACGACTCGGGACACTGGATCGGGCGGCACGAACCAGCTGGGGTCGGAACGGAGCGTGCATCTCTGGAGTCCCAAAACGGTGCGGCGACAGACCGGGCGGTGACCTCGAACTCCCCCCAAGAGACCTCACCACACGGCCCGTCACCGCACGGCCTTGGGACCCTGGAGGCCCCTGTCGCCCGAGACGTCCTCGGAGAACGACCCGAGTCCCAAAACCGTGCGGTGACCCCGAATCCCCACCGACTCACCGCCCGGTGTGGTCACCGCACCGTTTGGGGGGCCCCGCGCATCGCATCGGGCCGCGTCGGCACGTGCCGCCGGAAGCGAGCCAGATCGGCCGCGCCGAGGGGCGCGGCAGCGGCACCTCGGGCACCGGGCCGCGTCGCACCGCCGGGGCGTCGGGGTCGGGTCGGATCGCAGCTGACCGAGGTCCACATTATCGGAATCGGGCCCTTCGGATCGACATGGGAGGAGCAGGAGAAAGAGGAGGAGGAGGAGGAGGAGAAAGAGGAGGAGGAGGAGGAGGAGGAGGAGGAGGATAAGGATGAGGAGAGGAGGAGGAGGATGAGGAGCAGGAGGAGGAGCAGGACCCAGACATCCGAAGGCGTGACTTCTTCACATCTCAGACATACGACGTCGCGTTGTCTTGCTGCGTGGCTCCCACGAGGACTGGACCCCTCCCTGGGGACCGGCTTTTCATTCTCCGAGCAGCTCGGTTGACGGCCCCGAGGCCTGGCACGGGCCCCTTCGGTGGCAACCCATGGGAGCCTCCCATACCATCTTGTCGGCTCTTACGAATCGACGCTAGTCGACGCGAATCGACGCTGAATCGACGCTCCTCGACGCAAACCGACGCGAGATCGGCGCCGTCTCGTCGACTCCCGGGCGCGAACCGACGCCAACCGACGCTAAAGACGGGGCTCCAAGGGCAGACCAGGCTCCCATGACTTGCTTCCGAGTCGCCCCGTCCCCGGGACGGGCGGCTTTCCGCCGCCTGCCCCCAGGCCCGGCACCGGCCCCCCGAGGGCGCCGAGAGAACGGCCCAAGACCTCCCGGCCCGCGCTTCCTCGGAGCCGGCTCGGAGCGCCATCGGGGCCCGATCGGAGCAATATCCACGGGGCCCAGAGCTATACACCACCACCACCACCTCCCTCATCCCCTCCCTCTCCCAGGCAAGAGGAGAGAGACGAAGACGAAGGCGGACGGCGGAGGGGGAGTGGAGGTGGTGGTGGCGTACAATCAGTGGGGCCCGCGTCGTCGGAGTGCCATTGCCGCGCCCACTCGGAGCGCCCCCGGGCGGGGAGCGCCACCGGAGCCCAGACGTGTGCGACGCCCTGGGTTTCTCTGTCGCAATGCGCGGTCCCCAGAAGTCCCGAAGCCCCTCCTCCTCCTCCTCCTCCTCCTCCTCCTCCTCCTCCTCCTCCTCCTCCTCCTCCTCCCGAGCCGTGGTTTGACGGTCCCGGGGCCCGGTGAGGGCCTCCACGGGCCGAAGATTTGGGAGCGCCCTGGGTCCTGCCTTTTTCAGGGCGCTGCATCAGATGCGCATTCCGGGGGCCTTCCTGGAGACACTCGCTGCACTTGTGCGTCGAAGCTGCGTCGAACGTCCGTCGACTTGAGCCGACCTTGAGTCGAACCCGAGTCGAACCTGAGTCGAACCTGAGTCGAACTTGGGTCGAACTTGGGTCGAACTTGAGCCCAAGTGGGGTCGAACAGATGTTAGGTGGTCCCCGGGAAGGTCCCCAACACGAGCACCTCAGGTCGCATGCCTGGGAGCGCCCTGGGAGCGCGCCACCGGAGCCCCGTCGGGGGGAGGTCCGGGGGCGAGGGCGAGGGAGACGGGCGGGCCGTGGGAGGCCCGAGCGGGAGCGCCCCTGCTAGCGGGCCCGGCTGAGGGCGGCGAAGGCCTCGCACGCCTCGGGGGAGACAAAAGAGCAGGGGGCAGAGAATCCGCCCTCGTGACCATCTCCCCCCGACGCGCGACGCCGCTCAGCAAACGCACCCAAAGGAAGAATCGTAGAGGGCAGGGCTGTTCAGAGAACGCCCAGGGCCGTGGTTCTCCCCCCCTCGAGAGAAGGCACCGAGGCCGATGCTCCCCGAGATCCTGGCGTCGCAAGTTGTTCGATGCGGGCGCTACCGCATAGTTTCGGGCCCCGGGACCCGCACAGATCGCTGCAGCCAGAAAGATGCAGCCGAAGTGAAGGGTCCTGGGCTCAGGTCATGATCTTCGACGATGCCTCATTTTGTTCGCGCCTTCGGATCCCAAGGCACTCCAGACACTTCCCAGGCTGCGCTCTGACCAGAATTTCGAGGAGAATCCAGCCGTGGCGACGAGAGCTCTCCAGGACGAGCAGCGGTAATGGTACCCAGACATGCGCTGCCCTTCTGTCTTCAATCCGGAGGCCCAGAAGTCCCAACCCTTTCCCCAGGGCCTGTTTCATCTCTCGAATCGTTTTTTGACGGTCTCGGGGCTGAAAACCTTCCGTCGCTATTTTTCTGAAAGACGTGAGCATCCCTGAGGTCCGACGTTGCGAAAAAAAAGCATCGCCAAAGATAACGGCAAGCGCCCTAGACCCCATCTTCCTGCAGCACTTCTCCAGCCGAATCGATATGTGATGGTCTCGGGGTCCGAGAGCAGCCGAAAACGCCCGGTGTGAACAGAAATGCAGAGCCCGGATTTCAAGGATACGTGGGCCCGAAAAAAACCCATCGTGACTTTTTCCGTGACGCGAGGAGGTTCGGTTTTCGGGCCGCAACTCGGACCGCAGGCGGCCGTTCGGGGCGATACGGGCACCACAGCACGCTGTGTGCGAGGCGCAGCCGCTGAAGGCATCCCGAGGCTGGGAAACCTCCAGGAGCCGACGAACGTCCGAACACCTGCCGACGCGAGCATGTTCCCAGACAGCCGGGGCTCCAATTTTTCCAATGCGTGGACCACCGGAGGTCAGGACCACTCTCCCAGAGCCGGCTTGCCTTCCTGAATAGCTTGTTGACAATCCTGGGGCCCGATGAGAGCCCTTGGCCGAAAATTACCCAAAACCGGCCGATCCAATTGCTGTTGGAGCCTCGCATCTTTGGATCCCACGACGTCTCCACCCTCCCCGAGGCCGAAAACAGCGAAAAATCTCAACCTCCCGCATTGCTTGCTTTCGAAGCGTCCGAAAACTCTCCGAAACATTCCGACGCCAGCATATTTGGGCCCTCGGAGCTTGGAGGCGGCAGGGGGGTCTGAACTGGCTGGGACCCTGAGAATTCAGTCAGGAGAACGGGATGAGGCCAAATCCGCTCAAAATCGGTCCCCCGACCCCTCCTGGAGTCTATCTGGTGCAATTACTCACCCCCGATCAGTTTTTCAGCCCCAGTCCCGAAACAGAGGCTGAAACAGGCGAAAAAACATCTCGAGCCCAGAACCCTGAACCTCGCCCCAGCCACCCTCCTGCTCGCCAGAACCAGCGCTGGGGCGCCTCAGATGAAAGAAACAAAAATCGCATAATCACAAACTTTCTGGCGCTCCGCGCGGAGCGCCAAAAGTTTATGTTTATGCCGTTGTTCTCCATCGATCAAAGCATGATCCAAAAGTAATCAGCAGAGCTCGAAAACTCGTCACCAGACTATGTTAGGCCATTCTTGAATATTCCTCCTGTAGTGGGACATGCCCGACTTAACCCCAGCCGACTCCAACTCGGAGCCTCGTCGCCGTCGAGCCTCGGAGAGGCGAAAAACCTGCGTCCCCCCTCCTCCCCCTTCCCCCACCCTCCCCCTCCCCTCCCCCCTCCCCCTCCCCTCCCCCTCCTCCCCCTCCCCTCCCCCTCCCTCCCCTCCCTCCTCCCCCTCCCCCTCCCCCTCCCCCTCCCCCTCCCCTCCCCCTCCCCCTCCCCCCTCCCCTCCCCTCCTCCTCCTCCTCCTCCTCTCCTCCTCCTCCTCCTCCTCCTTCCTCCTCCTCCTCCTCTCCTCCTCTCTCCCCTCCCCTCCTCCTCCTCCTCCTCCTCCTCCTTCCTCCTCCTCCTCTCTCCTCCTCCTCCTCCTTCCTCTCCTCCTCCTCCTCCTCCTCCTCTCCTCCTCCTCCTCCTCCTCCTCCTCCTCCTCCTCCTCCTCTCCTCCTCCTCTCCTCCTCCTCCTCCTCCTCCTCCTCCTCTCCTCTCCTCCTCTCTCCTCTCCTCCTCCTCCTCCCTCCTCCTCCTCCTCCTCCTCCAGCCGACCCCAACTCGGAGCCTCGTCGCCGTCGACCCTCGGCGCGAACAGGGCGCGCAGCAGCGCGGCGAGCGCGGCGGCCTCCGCGGCGGTGCGGCCCGAGGCCCCGCGGCCCGCCAGCGCCGCGGCGTCGGGGGGCACCGCCGCCTCGTCGGGCCCGTCGCACCCTGGGAGGGCGCCGCGCATGCGGCAGGTCCGTGTCTGAGACCGCGGGGATCGTTCGATGTTGAAGTAGGTCGGGCACGTCCCCCTACAGGCGGATATGGGAAGTAAGATAAAAAATGCCAACGCAAAAAAAATAGTATACAAGAGCACTGAAAAATCGTCACCTGGCTACGTTTATACATTATTCGACATTCCCCCTGTAAAAGGACATGCCCGATTTAATCCTTGAACGACTGGCCGTCTCCACAATTTCAAAACGCTCAACATCGACCGATTCTGGGTCGCTGGCGGCGTTCAATATGTTGAACACCCGCGGCGAGGTCGCCGCCTGTCGACACGACGCGAACCAGCTGCGGGACGGGAGGTTTTTGGCCATGATCGGCCCCAACGGGGCCCTCACTGAACCTGGAGCCCGCAACAAAAAAAAAAAAAAAAAAAAAAAAAAAACGACTGGAGCGGAAAATCCGTCCTGGGGAAAGGGTCGGGGCTTCCCGGGGCCGCGCACTGAAAAAATCTGGACATCGCAGGGGAGGGCGCCACGTACACTGAGAAGGAAAAAGACGGGGGGGAATGGCTCACGGGGGAGAACATGGAGCTGGACTCGGCGATACATCGCCGGTAGAACGGCGATACGCCCTACACAGCGAATCCGCGCGGTCCTGAGCGGGTTGGGCTATCGGGCCTCTATGGGCGATCAATGAGCGATTGGGGGTCGACGCATCACCCCTTGAGCCTACCCCGTGACGTTGCCCCTGATATACACCTACCCAAGAGATCAACGCATTTTGAAAACAAAACGGACGTCGTTCGCCATCTGCGGCTGGGGACAAATCACGACGGAAGATGTCCGGACGCTTCCGTCTACCGTTGGAGGTTTCCCAGCCTTGGCATGCCTTTCAGCGGCTGCGCCTCGCCGAGAACACCCTGGGGATGTCCGTGTCTGTTGAGGCCCAGCAATACGACCGGCGTGCTGACCCCCCCTTCGCGACACGGGGTGCGTCGCGCATTCGTCGCCCGTGCGCGGCCCGTGCATCGGCCGCCGAATAGGCCAGCCGTCCTCGCGAACGTGCACGTCGCCTTCGCAAGGGGGCAATTTGGCGAGTGCGTCGCCAGCGCGGCGGGCGCCCACGGGGCGGATCGCACGCGCGTCGCCCGCTCCACGGCCGCCAAATAGGCTGGTCGCCTTCGGGAAAAAGAAAGTCGCCCACGCAGCGGCCCCCTTGGCGAGAAGGCGGCCGCTGGGCCGCCTCGGCACATCAGCAAATCCCTCTAACATTACAAATTCCGCGATGCTGCTGAACGCACTCGGGCGCTAGGCCAACAGGTGCCCGCAGCCGCCTCCACAGCCGCCGTGATCGCCGCCAGCGCCAGGACTACCACCGCCACGATCACCACAAACGGCCGCGACCGCAAACACGTCCACCGCGACGATTACGACCGCCACCATTTACCGCCACCACCACCACGACCGCCACACTTCTCGCGACCACCACAACGACCGACACCAGCACGATCACCGACGTGACCGCCACCAGCCCGCCCACCGCCAGCAGCACGACCACCGCCAGCGCGACCAAGGCGACAAACGCGACCACGACCATGATCACCAACATGACCATTACAGAAGCACCCGCCCACTCCGTCCTCCCCCTTCTCCCCACCATTCCCCTGCCGGGCCGCCCTTGCCGCCGCGCCCGCCCCATGCCCCTGCCTCTCCCCCGTCCTTTTCCCCTCGCAATCTCCCTCTGCCACCGCCAGCGGCGGGGCCTTTTTCACAGAATGCGGGGACACCGACCGCGGCCCCGCGCCGCGGCCGCGAAGGGGGGGCCGAAGGATAAGAAAGAAAATGAAGAGGGACACGGGGTGGCAAGGGGAAAAAAACAAAGACGAGAGAGGACGGAGGAGGGCCAGGCAGACGGAGGCCGGGAAAAAGGAGGAGGAGAAGGGAGGAGGGAGGGAGACGAGGCAGGAGGGAGGACGAAGGAGGAGGAATGACGAAGGAGGAGGGACGTCGAAAAAAAAGGGAAAGCACAGGGACGAATCACCGCCATTCCTGGCGCAATGGAAAACGCAGCCGCCGCCATTTGTGAACAGCGCAAGCACGGCGGGCCGACAGCCGTTGCGCATTGCTGGTCGGAGACATACTATGGGGCGGGCAGAATCGCGACTGCGTCGCGCATGCGTCGCGCGTGCGTCGCGCGTGCGTCGCGCTTGCTTCGCGCGCGTGGCGCGTGCGTCGCGCGTGCGTCGCGCGGGTCGCTCGTGCGTCGCGCGCCGGCAGGGGTGCGTCGCGCGCGGGTCGGGGTGCGTCGCGTGCGTGTCGCGCGTGCGTCGCGCGCGCGTCGCGCGCGCGCGTCGCTCAGGTCGTTCGTGCGTCGCGCGCAGGTTGCGCGCGAATCGCTCGAAGGAGCCGTGGATTTCTGACGGCACGTGAACTGCGCGGCCCGCTGGCGAAACAATCAAAGAATGCGCGCCACAATCACAAAAATAGCGGGACACGCACATGAGAACTACGAATGCGAAGAGACCAATAGACGACATGAAGATGTACCGCGCACGGAATGATCAATTTCAAGCGCACGCCCCGTCGGAATTTGAACATCGATTCGTCACTGCAGCAACTTGGCGACGTCACGCCCGCCGATGCAGTGGGGGGAGAAAGAGGAAGGAAGTGAGGCGAGGGAAGGACGGGCGGGCGGAAAAAGGGAACGGACGGGCGAGAAGGGGGCGCGCGGGGACGGCGCAGCGGCGGCGGGAGCGATGGGAGGCAATCGAAGGGGAGCGGCGGGAGCGAGGAGGGCGAGAGGGAAGTTCCAGGAGGGTGGAAGGACAACGGGGGGTAGTAGTGAGAGGGACAGGACGGCAGCCTGACACAAAAAAATCGGAATAGAACTTCGCAAACGAGACAGAACGCGCAGCGCGCTCAACGAGGGCAGGAGGAAGGAAGAGGGGGTGGGCAGGAGGACTGGCGCGAAACGACATGGGGGTGCGGGGCGCGACGCGGCGCGGCGAAGTGGCGCCGCGTCGCTCGACGTGACGTCATCCCCACCGTGGCGCGACGCGCACAACCCCCATTCCACGCGAGGCGTTTTCGTCCTCAGTTACAGTTGGCGCCCCCCGAAAATTCGCACCAGCGAATCCTCTTGCGCCAAATGGGAAACAGAACGCGCTGGTGGACCGTCGAACTAGAGTGCGCCACGACCGCCAAACTGGCTGCTTATGCACCAGCGTCGGAAACCGATATGTCGCCAGCGAAATTCCGAAGTCGCGCCATGTGTCGCCCACGCACTCTGGGAGGCCGGGATTCGGGACAGAGACGCAAACCAGGGCCGGCGCACGGGCGACGTACGGGCGACGCACTGAACGAAACTGGTTGTATTACTGGGCCTTAACACCCGTGTCGCCCCGAACGGCCGCCTGAGGTCCGAGTTATCACACGAAAACTAAGCCTCCTCGCGTCGCTGACAAAAAACACGACGGCGGTTATTCGCCGATTTCGGCCTTTAGGGGCCCTGGCCAGGCCCCAGGACCGTGAAAAAACAAAAACTCAGGATAGAAACCGGGTCCCCGGGAGTTGGTCGAGACTTCCAAGGAAAAGGGGCACCCACCCTGAGATCTGGGCGATGCACATGTTCCGCGCGGGGCGGATCGATCCGGCCAGAGACATGCCGCAGAAAGGAAGACTCTGGGGCTCTGGTCGTGACTTCTGGCGATGTCGCAATTTCATCGCAACGTCGGATCTCAAGGCACACCGACCCCGACCAGGCTCCTCCTGGGCCCAGGTCGGTGCATGCGCCCCCCTGACCTGGGCAGGAAGGCATACACACCGAGCCTGGGCCGGCTGATCCTGGGCCCAGAATCGGTGCATGCGCCCTCTGAACCCGGACAGGACGACACATGCCCAGACATGCGACGTCCGGATTTGGCTCGACGCGCGGAAGTCCCCGAAACACTCTCCTCACCCCGAGCCGTTTCCACGAAACGACGAAAACCCAATCCGCCGCTGTCTGAACGAAAAATCAATGACAAAGCACAAAAAACAATAAACAAAAACACACACGCAAAAAAAAAAAAAACAGCACAAACAGAATACACATGGGAAAGCGTGAACAAATCACGACTGGAGCCTTGGACCCCGTCTTTCTGCGGCCTTCTTCGAGCCGCATCGATCTGTGAGGGCCCCGCCCGAAAGATTGCGACGCCAGGATCTCGGCTCCCCCAGGGTATTGCGAGGCCTTCGCCGCCCTGAGCCAGGCCCGCTGGAAGGGGCGCTCCCGTCTGGATCCGAAAGGCCCGCCCCGCTCTCGCCCTCCTCCCCCGACCTCCTCCTGAGTAGGCCCGAGAACGGGCGAAAACGCACGCCAGGCCAGAAGAAAATTGAGACGCCAGGACCTCAGGGCACACCGAGCCTGGGGCCTAGGGGGGCCAGGCCAGGGCGAGTTATAAGTCTTAGAAGAAGAAGAAGAAGAACAAGAAGAAGAACAAGAAAAGAAGAGGAAGAAGAAGAACATCTTGGCATAAACATAAACTGTTGGCGTTCCGCGCGGATGTCTTCTACACTGGACCCCCTCCCTGGCGCGCAGAGCGCGCCAGGGGCGGCGTCGGAAGCGCCGCAAGGGGGGGACCCAGCGCGGATCAAAAAAAACCGCGCGGAGCGCCACAAGTTTTTATGCGTATGCCGTTTCTCCTCTTCTAACTAGCCCTGGCCTGGCCACCCCAGGGCCCAGGCTCGGTGCAATTAACCTGGGGCCCGCGCGGAGCGCCAAAAGTGTATGTGTATGGCGTTTCTTCTTCGTCGACGAGTACAGGTACGCAGTTGGTGCCCGGTGACCCCCCGCGCCGCCAGACGCTGGCGGAGCCCAGGGGCACGGCTTGCCCTCCGACGTGGCGTCCCCGTTCGTGCCCACCAGCTCCCACACGCTGAGCTGCACCCCTCCAGGGGCAGGAACAGTCCCTCCTCCTCCTCCTCCTCCTCCTCCTCCTCCTCCTCCTCCTCCTCCTCCTCCTCCTCCTCCTCCTCCTCCTCCTCCTCCTCCTCCTTCCTCCTCCTCCTGCCTCCTTCCTCCCTCCTCCTCCTCCTCCTCCTCCTCTTCCTCCTCCACCTCCCCCTCGTAGCATCGGATCGGGGCATCGGAGCGGATCGGAGGGCGCATCGAATCGCACCGTATCGGCTCGGAGTCGGGATCGGGTCCGAATCGGGCTGGCGGCGCCAGGATACAGAACAGCGTCATGCAAGCGTCGGGCCGCATCGGATCGCCCGAAAGTCGGAATCGAATCGAATCGGGCCGGCCAGAGCCGATATCGAATAGGACCCATCGGATCGAAATGGACCCTAAGGGGCAACCACGTCCGAGCCCGGCCCACCTTCAGACCCCCTCAGGCCATGGAAAAAAACACGGCGGAAGGCTTCTGATCGTTTTCGACCTCTCGGGACCCTCGCCTGGCCCCGGGACCGTCGACAAAACGAGTCAGGATGAGAAGCCTGTCTGGGAAATGCGGTCCAGACCCCCTTTGGGGAACCGCTTAGCAGAAACAAAAAACAAAAAGCAACAAAAAAAGCATGACGGGGGCATGCCCCTGCAGACCAAACGTCTGGCACACGGAAACACGACAGACGTCTGCAATTAGTCAAGGGGACCCCAGCGAGAGCCCCTGAGATCCGACGCCTCAAAAACACTGCAACACCATTCAAAAAAATCACGAGCAGAGCCCGAGCCCCAGACCCGATCTGTCTGCGCCATTTTTCGAAGCGGATCGATATGTGAAGGCTCCTGGGCCCAGGTCCGGAGGAAAACGCTCCGCTCGGAAAAAAAATGTGGCGCCAGGATATCAGGGTCTGTAGTTTGCCAAGCGGAGCCCTATGGGAGTGCCCGATGCCCCGCATTTTTCATCCCGGACCGTTTTTGTTAACGGTCCCGGGGCCCAGCGAAGGGCTTCTACAAGCCGAAAACGGTGAAAACCTGTGACCGGAGATCGTTTTCTATGTTTTGTGATAGCAGCCGCTGCCAGCCCTGACCGCGCCCCCCCAGGTAACGTCGCGATTCGGCTGGTATCCAGGGTGCTTTGAACTATTCTTGTGCATTCCCAGACGGCGCTGGCGCGAAACGTGACGTTGCCGATCCCGTCCCTCTCCTCCCCCCCCGTAACGCCTGTCATCGCCTGGTGGATTTCTGGGATTGCGTCGCAAGCCTCCGCTCAGCAGGCCGAGGAAGGCCACGGACAGGGCGCGCCAGTCCCGCGCGGCGCCCCAGCGGCTGCCTGGCACGGCGCCGACCTCTCGAAGGGCCCAGGGGCACACAAAGAAATAGGCACGAATCCCAAGAGTCCCAATATTCCCCAATCAATGCTTGCACTAACCGGGTCCTAACGGAAATTGGAAGATTTCGCGAAAGTTTCCCGCCGATTTTGGTGGCAGGCTGGGTTCCCGGGTTCCTGGTTCCAGGTTCCCGGGTTCCCGGTTCCGGGTTCCCGGGTTCCCGGGTTCCCGGTTATTGGTTCAGGTTCCCGGGTTCCCGGTCGATCTCCTCAGCGAAAACCATCCACTGATTGGGGCTTTTCTCTGGTGCAATTTTTCAATATCCTCGTTTGGCCCTGAAAGTGATGCGATGGTGGTGAAGGAAGGGGGGCGACGTTGATGCCTCTTTTACAAGTAGCCGAGACGGGAACCCTGCGCAGAGCCCGAGCCACTCCCAGGAACTTGATGCCACAGGGCGGTGGGCGGGTTGTTCAACATTGGCCGAACGCCGGGGCCCAGATGGCCATAGGCTTCGGGCAGAGTGACAGGATACACATTCGTGTTGTCACACGGGGGTGTTTCCCTCGAGTGGCCCTATAAGCGATGCGGTGGTAAAAGAAGGGTGGGGGGGGCCTTGACGCCTCTTTGACGGGTGGCGGAGTCGGGGGCGATCTGTTACGCAAGGGCCCGAACCATTCCCAGGAACTTGATGCCACCCGCTCAGCGACGGGCGTGGGTCACTAAGGAGGAAGGGGTGGAGGCACGGAAGCGCAGGGGCTTCGGTCCCCGGGGGCCCCCACCTGACGCCGCGAGCGCCGAGGCCCGCCAGCCGCGCCTCGCCCCCCACGCCCCGCCGCACTGGCATCGCCACCCCCCCACCGCACCGCGCCGCGTCGAGGGGGGCAGCGACGGCGGCTCAAGGGCCTCTCCCAGGCCCTTGGGGGCCCCCGCAGACCCGACCCCCACCCCCATCCATGGGGGTTCCCACGGTGGGAATGCCGGGTCGGGAGGAAGCCCCCAGGCCGTCCCCGGCGCGGGGGCCAGCGCGGGGAAGCTCGAGCCACCCGCGCCCACCTGGCGCCGGGGCCCCCAGAGGTCACGCGGGGCCCCGCGCGCCACCGCCGCCGCCTCCAGCTCAGCCAGCGCAACGTCGTCAGCGACGCGCTGGGCGACGCCGTTCGGCGCGCGCGCCCGCGGCCCCTGATCGCGCCCCGCCGCGGGCGCCCTGCCCTTGGAGGCTGCCCACTCCTCGGCAATCGACTCGCAAAGCCCATGGGAGGCCTGCGCCACCTCGTCGAGCACGTGCCGCTTCGGGCCCGCGGCAGCCACGCGGATCCAGAGAGGCTCGTCGAAGTCCGACGTCTTGCCTTGCTGAGATCGCCCGCTCCCGCTTCTACTCGGACAGGCCCAGCGCCATCTCGCGCGACCCCGGCTCCTCCGAGAGCTCGACGAGGAGGCCCGTCAAAGGTCACTCGGTCCACGCGGCCCCCCGCGCAGCGCAGGCGCCCCCAAGTTGTTCGTCGACCCCGCCATCTCGCAGCTCGCCCACTGGCGACGCCCCCCGGGCTTCGCGAACAGCTTCGCGCGGGGGATTGCGCCGAAGAGCTCGAGCGCCGCGATGACCCCCGCTCGGGCCCTTGGCCTCGGCCCACGCCCAGGGAAGTCATTCCTTCTCCACCTCGAGCGCAGACCAGCGGGCCCCATCGCGCGCTGCCGTTCGCTGGCCTCCCATCCAGCAGCGCCCCCCCCGCCGTCGCTTCCGAGCAAAAATGCCCGGCGCTCTCGGTTCTGAACATGATGGGCGACTCCAACCCAAGTCAAGTCGCCAGTAATTTGCCGATCCACGTCAGCACGAGCCTGGTCGCCAACGACGGGGAGACCTTCTTCTTGTCCTGCCTTGCGACGCTGGCGAGCCAGGCGCGCTCGCCCCAGTAGCGGCTTCTCCCATGCCAGGACCGTCGTCGCGAAGCCCAGGCGCCTCTGGCACGACGCCAGCTCGCCAACGTGGATGGCGCAGCTTTCAACCGTCTCTTTGCACCAGACTGCTAGCCCTCGCCGCGGAGGCCCACGGCGCACATGGCGCGATCACAATGGAAACCGAACCGGTCTCCTTCGAGGCCGCCCGGCGCACTGATCCTCTCAACCGGGAAGCCGAAGACGCCGAATAAGACGACCAGAATGGACGTCGCCAGTCGCCCTCGCTCCCCCACGCGGATCGCCCCCAGGTCGGCGGCATCAGCGAATTTTTCCATTGGCCATTCGTCTCCCAACAGGCAGAACATCGCCCGCAGTAGGGCGCCGAATTGCCTGGTCAACCATTCTGGCGCGCTGGGCCTGCCGAAGGTGCCCGCGGAGTTGCGGCGCACTTCGCCCTCGAGCTCGCAGGCCAGCATGCCCCACTCATCCTCGCGGATCTGGACAAGCCGATGCAATCCCTCGACGTCGATGACGAGTGAGAAAATGGCCTTGTGCGGATCTTAGCCCTGAGGTAATTCTCCTCTGCGGGCCTCGGCATCCCCTGCCAGTTCCGGCATCGAACCCACCAGTTCACGGCGACCTCGCGCGCGCCGTCGTGGACGACTCTCTTCTTGCCGCTCGCCCTCCTCAGGACTGCCAGCGCCGCGAAGGCCACGCCGCTGCAATTGGCCGCCTCTGGGGCGGCACAGTTCACCGCGTCCTGGTCAGGACGCCCCATCGCCAACTCCTCGAAAAATCCCCCTGCCGGGACACCCCTCACAGCACGCCCGCCGGCGTGACTCCCGTCATCAGCTCATTCAGCAACTCCGCGTCTGGGCCCCCAGCTCCACGTAGAAATGCCGCTCGAAAAAGGAGGTGGACGGGCCGCCCCTCGACGACGCACCCCATGTCGTCGCCGTGGCCCGCCCGCCCCTTTGCCCCCAAAGCTCCAGGGCTCCGGGGGCCCCTCCGGCCGTCTCGTTAGACCTCCTTACCCACGTCATCGGAAGGCTCGCTCGGGTCGGCACCCGCCCGCTGAACATGCGCCGCACCCCCCCCGCCGGGGCGCCCCCCCCGCCCGCGTCGGACGGGGGCCCGCGGGCGGGGCGGACGTCGTCGACGCGGGAGGGCGCCCAATGGTCGACGGGGGCCTGGGACCACCCTCCAGGCGAGCAGAAGGTTTTCGCTTGGGCGCAGCCCACCTCTGCCGAGACTGGACTGTCTCCGGCCATTCCACGCACGGGCACGCAAGCTGCGCCCAGCGCCCCGCCAGCGCGCGGCGCCCTCTATTTGGTCGCCCCGCGTCTGAGTGGCGAGCGGGCCCCCGCCCCGATGGATCGCGCGAGGCCCCTCCGCCGCCGGCTCAACCACGCCTGATCCGCCAAGGGGGAGGGGGCCAAGGGCGGCGCGCCCATCTGTTTCGGGAGGCCACACGGAGCCCGCCGCCGCCGCGGCCTCCCCCACGACAGCCCCCCCGACGCGTCGGAACTGGCGGAGCTCGACGAGCCGCCTGCCCCCGTCGCCGCCCTCGGCCTAAGTTAGGCGCAAGCACACATGGCAGACCATGTCATAACCCCCGCAAACCGTCGAAGTAGGTCAAGTTCGGCGGCGACCTGCCGTTCGCCTAGCCGTAGCACCAGCCCTCGTGGAGCCTGGCCACTTCGCGCGAAGCTGCCGGTCTCCTAAGCGCCCTTGCTCTCGACGCGAGGACTCCTCCTCACCGTCGCCGATCTGAATGTTCGTCCAGCTACCCTCGTCAGCGCTGTCACGTCGGCGATCAGCCTTCGGCGCCCTTCGCGGGGGCGTCGCCGACCCCGCCGCTGGTGCTATGTTACCCTGTTCCCCATCTTCAACGGCGGCCTCTGGGGGCGCCGCCCAGCCCGCCCTCGTTTTCGGGGCGCCATCGCCAGTCCGCCAGCGATGGTCTCGAAGGCCGCGCAAGACTCGGCTGCCACGCCCGCCACCTTATACACCGCGGAGATGCTCCGCTGCGCCAGCCAGCTCACCAAGCCCGGGGCGGCCGCCGACTCGCGCAGCGCCGCGCAGGACTTCCCCGAACGCAGCACATCCGCGAAGTGCTCCTGGAGCGCGGCCACGACTGCGCGGCATGTCCTCGCGTGGGCGCCCGCCCTCTCCAGCGACCGCCTGCCCAGGTAGTCGCGGTCGCTCTTCGAAGCCCCAAATGCCGCCATGGCCTAAGGGATCGTCGCCCGCCCCGAGCGCTCGGCCCAGAAGCACACGACCTCCTCGGAGAGAGAGAATGAGAGAGAGATAGAAAAAGAGAAAGAGAGAGAGAGAGAGAGAGAGGAAAAAAAACAAAAAAAAAAAAAAAAAAAAAAGAGAGAGAGAGAGAGAGAGGGAGGGAGAGAGAGAGAGAGAGAGAGAGAGAGAGAGAGAGGAAAAAATCGACCACCTCCCCTGCGCACGCCGCTGGCTTCAGCATCATCCAGAGCACCTCCTGACCCGCTGCCGATGCCTCAGAGTGCCCGGCAGGCGCGGGGACTATCGCCAGCCCCGCGTCGTCGCACCTCGACAGGAAGTAGTCTCTCGAAATCTGCTATAGTCTGCCACCAAGTCGAAACCCACTTGGATCCACGCTGGGGCACGCATGTAGCACTCTCGGGAAACCGTCAGCGGAAGCTCCAGCGTCTCGCGCCCCGCTCTGGTAGTCGCACTTCCCAACGTGGCCGCCAGCCCTCCGCCCACGAAAACGAGACGCTGCAGCGGCAGCCAGCCGCGGTGGTCGCAACTTTGCACCGCCCACACCTTTGCGAGGCGAAGCCACGCCACCCCGCGCAGGTACGGCGCGAGGCCGCCGTCCATGACCAGCCGTTCCAAGGCTCCGATGAACGCTCTGGGAACACGTGCTACCCTCGTCGTCGGCCCCTTGCCCACACCGGGAAGCATCTCCACGCGGGCGACGACCTGCTGCGCCTCCAGCCAGGCGGAGAGCCCGTCGCTCGCATCCAAAGCCGCGGCCCGCTCCGTCCAGACCAAGGCGCGCAGGCTATGGTTGGTGACCGTCGGCCCGCACGGTTCGGTCGCCCTGACGTGCACGTAGTCTACACATGCACGATTGTCACGAACCACAAAACCCCGCGTGCGCGCAGAAGCCACCTGCGCATCGTCTCCACAGCTCGCACGTACGACCTTACCGCTTGGGTCCATGCAGGCCTGCACCGTCTCGAGGGAGTGCGCCCTCATCTCTTCGAGCAGCGCGATCAGGCGAGGCTTACACCGAGCCCACTCCTGCACCTCCGATCCACGCTGGCTCTCCTCCGCGGCCGCGCGGCACCTCCGCGCGAAGCGGGCCCCCGCCATCGCGCGAGCCCCAAGCAACGGCGGGGCCTCGACCGTGCATCGGTCGTCCGTCAATCGTGGGCACGCCGAGGCGTCCTCCAGCATAGCCCGCTTAGGGCAACCATGGCAAGCCCTGAAGCGTTTCTGAACAGTTTCTTCAGCAACGGTCAAATCGACGAGCTCCCTGAGCTGGCGGCTGCCGCGCCTCCTCCACGCTGAGGTCCGCGGCCTCCGCAACCTGCACCAAGGTCTCCTCGAAGTCGGCCTCCTCCACCTGCCGCGCGAGACGCGGGCCGAGGAGGTCGTGCTCGTGCTCCACTTTGCTGACCGGCCGCCGCGCGGCGTCGAGGGCGCACGGCCCAAAGGCCAGCATCTGCGCTCAACCGTTGTTCAAAATCGGCCGAGCACCTGAGCCCAAATGGCCACAGACACTGGGCAGAGTGAGAAGATACACAATCGTGTTGTCACACTGTCGCGTATTTCCTGGATTCTCTGATGCCCCTCCAGTAATCATACTTCCCATATTCCCCAAGCAATGCTTGCACGTAGGTGTTCTTACCTCTTTTTTCAGGAGCTGGGCCTGTCAGCCTGTCTGGCGGTTATGCTGCCGCCCCGTAACCGCCTCGTCGCCGCCGGTCGCCTGGGCCTGTCTGCCTGTCTGGCGGGTATGTTGCCGACCCATCGCCGCCTCGTCGCCGCCCGTCGTCTGGGCCTGTCTGCCGGTCTGGCGGCTGTGTTGCCGCCGTCGCCGCCCGTCGCCGCCGTGCGTCGCTGCTCCATCTGGGTCCTGGCTGCTGGTGGGCCACGCTTGTTGTCGCCGTCGCTCGCCGCCGTGCCTTGCTCTGCATTGTTTTGCATTGCATTGCGTTACTTGGCATTGCATTGCTTTACCTTGTTTTGCCTTGCTTTGCCTTGCTTTGCGTTGCTGTCCATTGCTTTGCTTTGCATTGCTTTGCACTGCGTTGCTTTGCATGCTTTACCTTGCTTTGCATTGTTTTGCATTGCATTGCTTTGCGTTGAGTTGCTTCGCCTTGCTTTCATTACTTTGCGTGGCATTACAACGCGGCGCTACGCATAGTCACTACAGTGCTTTGCATTGCGTTGATTTGCCTTGCTACGCCGCGCTTAGCATCGGTTTGCATTGTGTTTCGTTGCTTCGTATTGCTCTGCATTGCCTTGCCATTTGCTTTGCTTTGCTTTGCACTGCTTCGCGGTGTTTTTCATTCTTACATCTTCACGTTGCTTCGCAGCGCATTACATGCATTTGCACTGCTTCCTTTGCATTGCACCACTTGCTTGCTCTACGCGCCACGTAGATTGCATCACTTCGCATGCTAGGACCACTGGTTGGGGTCCACGCTTGCTAACAGGTTCCATATTGTGATAAAAATAAGCGTTCATATGTGTGTCTGTGCACATCTTTCCCTCCTGAGCCTCGGCCGCCCAGCGGTCCACTGGCGTGGTGCTGCCCAGGTCGATGACCTTGAAAGACCCGGCCTGTGGGGAAGCAAAAAGGCTCCGATACCGGTGCGCCCCGCCCAGACATGAGACGTCCTGAAGAACCAGAAAGGTTCTCCTCGGTGTTCTGCCTCTGGGGGGCTTTACAAAGCCCTGCGACCGTCAGCAAACGACTCGGGATGAAAAAACGGCCGTGGGGAAGGGGCCGGGACTTCCGGGGATCGCGCACTTAGAAAGCATCCAGACATCGCATATATGGGGCTACTCCCGAAACCGCTGCCTGACAGCGTTCTGACCGGAATTTTGAGGCGGATCCAGCGGTGGCGACGAGTGCCTCCCAGGAGGCCCAACAAGGCGAAGACGAGGCAAGGGTAGCGGCATCGGTACCTCCACAGACATGCGATGTCCTGATATTTGCAGCAAGCGGTCCGAGAAATCTCGACCCTTTCCCCAAGGCCAGTTTTTCACCCCGAGTCGCTTTAGGACGGTCCTGGGGCCCAGTAAGGGCTTCCAGAGGCCCAAAAATTGGGAAGAATCTCCGTCCTGGCTTTTGTCAGGACGCTGCAGATGTCTGGGTTCCTCCTCTGAGCCTGGGGCTGCAGCAGGATGTTGCCGTCGTGCAGGTCGTTGTGGGCGTAGCCGTCGGAGTGCAGGCGCCGCAGCAGGCTCGCCACGGGCGCCAGGCTCCGCGCTACGCCCGCCGCAGTGGACAGCGCCTCCAGCAGAGGCCGCGGGCCCGCGCGCTCGCGGAGGTCCCTCAGCAGGCAGTCGGCGTCGGGCTGCGCCGTGCCGCGGCCCAGCTGCTTGCCCAGCCTCTCCTCACGAGCGGCGAACGCATCCATATTCGAACTAGAGCCATCGCGAGCTTCTTGGGGACCTCCTCGGAGCATCATGGGCTGCTTCTTGAAGTCGTCATGGGACCTTCTTGGCATGTCTTCGGGGGCCTCTTAGAAAGAGTTTTGAAGCCTGTTGGGTGCCGCCTTGGGGCCTCTTGGAGCCTCTTTTGGGCTTCTTGGGGGCCTCTTGGGGCCTCTTGGGGGCCTCTTGGGGGCCTCTTGGGGCCTCTTGGGGGCTTCCTGGGGGCATCTTAGGGCCTCTTGGGGGCATCTTGGGGGCATCTTGGGGCGGAGAGCTTGGTTTTTCAGTTCGCGTTCCCTCTCTTGGGCCCCTCTTGGGGCCTTCTTGGGACCCTCTTGCGCCGTCTTGGGCGGCTCTGGGGCCGTCTCGGGGCTCTCTTGGGCCGTCTTGGGGCCCTCTTTGGGGCCTCTTGGGCCGTCTCGGAGCGGTTTTGGGAGTCCTTGGGCGGTGCTTTAGCGCCGGAAACGCGAAACAGCGAGAGTGCAAAAAACATCCCAAAGATGTAAATCAACGATTTTGCCCTCTCGGGGCGCTCTTGGGCGACATCTTCAACGCCTCTTGGGGCGTCTTGGGGGCCTCCGGGGCAATTTAAAACGCATCGTGCGTCGCCAGAGACCCCTGGACGGCGTCTTGGGGATGTCTCGAGACCGTCTGGGGCCGCTGGGATTGCTGTCTGAGGGCTCCCCTGGGCGATTCTAGGCCTCCCAGGAGCGGGCCTTGGCCGCGGTCCCCGCAGTTGTGGTCGAGTTTCCTGCCCTCGGCCCCCGAGCCCAGTGCGCCGTTATATGTATATAGGGGGTCAACCACAGAATTGAGTTACTCCAAAATTGATTTTCCCGCCTACTATTTATATATATATATATATATATATATATATATATATATATATATATATAAATCACAAGAAGCGCATAGAACTGTCGTAGATTCGCGGGACATGACACGCATTTGTTTCCGCGATTCGGTGGGGTAAGCAAGTTTGGGGTAAATCAACTCTGTAGTCGATCCCCTACTCGACATGTGCACGCCCTCGCGGCCTGGACTCGGGGGCGCGATCCCGCGGACAGGTCGCACAAATACGTTCCGCACGGGGCATCCGCGCAAGGACGTCCCGTATCCGCGGGGTCGCGGCCCAGGGACCCGGTCCGCGATGCCGTCGACACGGATATGCTTTTCGCCCACGATCTCCATGATGATGCCTCGCGGGATGCCCCAGCCCCAGACAACCTGCCGCAGCTGCACCAGCCCCGCCTCGTAGGGCGACGGGATCTACACATACCCAACGCCGCTGGCCAGGCCCATCCTGGGCCCAGGAGCGGTGTGTATATGCCGCCCTGACCAAGCCAGGGGGCGTATACACTTGGAGGCGGCCGGGGGTTCTGAAATGGTTGGGACCCCAGAAAATCGGCCAGGTCAGGAGGACGGATGAAACCAAATCCGCTTGAAATAAACGCCCAAGCCCCTCATGGGGCCCATCTGCCGCAGTTTTCACCCTGGATCCGTTTTCGACTGTCGAGTGGCCTGAAAACAGCCCCATGAGGCCGAAAAAAGTCAAAAAGCCTCCACGAATCCAGAACCTCGAACCTCGAACCTTGCCCCCCATTCCAGCTGGCAGAAACCAGTGCTGGGCCACCTCAGACCCCCAGCCAGCCTCAGGCCTCAAGTATGCACCGCTCCTGGGCCCAGGATGGGCCTGGCCAGTAGCAGTGGATGTGTATAGATCCCGTCGCCCCGCCTCATGCGACCAGCGCGCGAGGTGGGACACCTCGTCGGCGAGTTGCACCCTGGCCTGACACCCGCTCCGCACGGTCAGGGCCCGGCTCCCAGGCATCGCGGACAGGATGGCGACGAGGCGGACGGCGTCGACGCCCAGCGGGCCGCCGCGCCCAGGGGCCGCCAACTCTTGGAGGCGCCAACGCTGGTTGTCCCCAGCCGGCCCGCCGCCGGCGACCGCCCGATAGGCGATCACCTTGCCGTGGAAGAGAAATAACCTGGGGAAAAGACTGGCAGTGGACCCCATGGCTTGCCCGCGGGGCCAGCTGCTGGTCCCAGGTCGTTCTTCGGGCCCGGGGGCGGAAAGGCCTCGAGAGGCAAACTAGCAAGCAAAAGCACCGGTACCGCCCACCCCCGAGCCTCTCCTGGGGCGCATTCAGACCAGCATCTCTAGGATGATCCAGCCGTGGCGACGAGGGCTCTCCAGGACGAGCAGCGGCATCGGCACCTCTTCCCCTGCTGAACAGGACCCCTTCCCCCAGGGCGATCACCGCGGCCCCGTGCTCGTCGCGGCCCTCGCTCACGTCCAAGGCCAGGCCCTGGCCGGCTGCTGCCCCGCTGCGCAGCTGCCCGGTCTCGGCGTCCAGACGCCACGCCTGGCCGTCCTCGCCGCAGAGCGGCGCCATGGTCAGCGCAAGCGCAGCGGGGCCGCCGCCGTCGCCGCCGCCGCGCGCCAGCACCGTGAGGACCAGGTCGCCCACGCCCGGGTTGCACAGGTGGAAGAAGCCGCGTCTGCCATGGCAGGGGACACAGATCCAGGCCTGGTCGAGAGCCGCGCCGCCGGGCGCGGCGCACGTGGCGCCCGCGCAGGGGTCTGCGATGCAGATGCCGCCCACGTGCGGCACCTTCATCGCGCACTGGAGCCACTCGCTGCACCCGTCGTGGAGGTGCACCTCTGGGGAAACCAAGAGAGGCCCATACGGCTGAATGCTCCCTGGACATCTCCCGGGGCGCGCTCTGACCAGAACGCCGAGGCGAGACCCGCGGTGGCGACGAGGGCCTCCCCGGAGACCCAAAAGGGCGATACCGGGGCAAGGGTAGCGGTGTCAGCCATTTTTCTCCTTCTTCTCCTCCTCCTCCTCCTCCTCCTCCGAGCACCTCGTATACGCTGCCCTGGTGGCCGGTGCTGATCACGCCCTCGCCCGCCGGCCCGTGCCGCAGGCCCTGACATCCGCCGATATGATTTGTGCAATCCGCGGTCCCAGGGGTCCCGACCGCTGCCCCTGGGGGTAACTCCTCTGAGACGTTTCCTAGATAGACCCGAACGAAAGGGACTTCTCAGACCGCGGCGTTGCATGTGAGACTTCAAGAAGTCCCGGCCGCTTCCCTGGGGGGTAACTCCTCTGGTACGTGTCCTGAATGGACGCGAGCGAAAGGGACTTCTCGGAACGCGGCGCTGCATGTGAGACTTCGAAAAGTGCGAGCGAAAGCGTCGCGGCCTTGTGGGCGAAGCCGAGCGGACTGAGAAATCGGCATCGCCCGTCTCAAAAGTCACTTTCCCTGGGGTCCCTTTTGGAACCACATGATCTTCCCAAGTAAATGTGTGAAGGTCAATGGCCCTGGGGCCCGATAGCGGCCCCCGACATAGAAGTCCCGGCGGGGCCTGCATCCTTGCCGCATACAAGGGGGCCCTGGCAGTCCAGGCGAGGATGGTTGAAGGCAGACGTCTAATCCATGTTGGCGGCGCACTTGCTTCTGCATGCAGCTAGCCACGAAGTCAGGAGCTGCTTGAGCAGCGCTTCCCTTATCGCAATGTGTTGACCTCGTCGACGAGTCGACTGTCAGATCATTGTGAAGGGGCCCAGGGACACACAAATAAATAGATACAAATCCCAGGAGTCTCAATGTTCCGTCTTTTCTGAATTCTCGTCTTCCCCTCCACTTCCCCTGCTTTCCATATTTTCCTCGGAATCGACGATTATTTGCCTCTGTGTGTTTGTTTGTCCCCCTGACATTGTTCTGCTTCACCGGCAAGGCTCTCGGCTGGTAGCCTGCCGTACGATGCGCGCCCGTCCCAGACACCCCAGTGCCCCAGTCCCGTCCCCGTCGGAGAGAACGCCGAAAAATCCACTCTCACGCCTTTCTCTTGGATCGGCGCGGGACCCCCCCCCTGCAACGGGTGCCCGAGGTCCTCCGGAAGATCTGCGAAAACATATACAGGGCAGTTTTTAATACATAGGATGATTTTTTATTTAAAAAAAGGATGTTGAAGACATGACTACTTTACGAACGAATTTAGGCATGAATTCGTCGTTGCGCTTAATACGAGATCCCTGCATTTTTAATGCACGATCCGCACGCGGAGCATGTAATAAAAAGACGGCACTGTACAGCCGGGGCTGCGCCACGGCAGGGCGCGCCCGTCACGGAGTGCCTCTCTCGGAGGCGGCGCCCGTGCCCCGAGCGAACGGCGCAAACCACCGCCCGGGGGCCAGGGCCGAGGCCGAGGCGGAACCGCCGCTTCTTGAGAAGGTCAGATCGTCGGGAGCCTCAAGGCCGAGGCGAAACCGCCGCTGCTGAAAAGGTCGGATCCTCGAGAGCCCTGGGGGCCTCCTGCGAAGGCCCCGCGCTTTCTCAGGAGCTTATTTTCCTTTGGGAAACTTCTCAGAAGGCCGGGGGACTTCCGAGCCTTCAGATGAGAAGGCCTTCTCCTTCTCACGTCCCCCTCTCGCTCGCCGCCGAGAGAAGCCCTGAGATCCGGGTGTTGCAGAAGTCCAAGGTTCCCCGAACAATGTGTGCACTCTGTGAGGTTCTTGCTCTCTGGCGGCTATGCGGCCGCCGTGGCCGCCCCGTCGCCGCCTCGTCGCTGCCCGTCGTCTGGGGCGTCCCTTCGGTCTGGCCGCCATGCGGCCGCCATCGCCGCCCCGTCGCCGCCTCGCCGCCGAAAAGCCGTCGGGAGCCTTTGGGGGCGGAGGGGTCCTGCAGCGGGCAGCCGGCGAGCGGCCCAGGCGCCGGCGGCTCGGCCGCCGGCGCGCAGCACCAGCCCGCGCCGCCGCGCGGCCGGGCATGTCCGCCCTCGCCTCGGGGAAGCGCCAGACTCGAGGTCGGAGGGCGCGGAGAGGTCCCGACGGGGCCGTCGGCTGCGTTTTTCTCTCCGCCGCCAGAAGCTCGTCGTCGCGGTCGTCGGCGTCGTCGTCGTCGTCGTCGTCGTCGTCGTGGTCGTCGTCGTCGTCGTCGTCGTCGTCGTCGTCGTCGTCGTCGTCGTCGTCGTCGTCGTCGTCGTCGCCAACGTCGTCAGCGTTTCTTGGATCGGCCACATATTCCAATACCCGGGACGAGAACCAGCCTGAAACCTGACGCGGGCTCCCGACGCGAACGTCCCACGAAGACCGGACCGTCCAGTCCCAGGACGGGCAAGCCCAAGGGCGCCGGCGCTGGGCCGAGCTCCCGCGAACTCGGGCCTTGCGCTGCCCAGGTCGCCGCCCAGCACCCGCAGCCACGGCCACGCGCGGCCCAGCCAGGCGTCCTCGCCCGCGGGCGCCGGCCGCGGAGCGGGCGGGGCGCCCGCCGCGCCCCTGCACGCGGGCGGCGACCTCGGGGAGAGAGAGGGGGCGGCGAGCGAGGGGGGGAATGAAAAGGAGAAGGCCTGCTCAGAGGGCGGCGGGACTTCTCAGAGGCCCTTGCGCCTTCAAGTTTTCTGCGTCTCCGGGGCAAGCCCCAAAAAAAATCGCAGAAGGCCGGGGGGACTTCCGGGGTTTCTGGAAATTGGCCCGCCACTTTTCACTTCCATCATTCGCTCGCCGCCGAATGAAGCCCTGAAATCCGAGTGCTACACAAATCCAACGTTCCCCAAACAGTGCTTGCACTGTGTGGGGTTCTTGTTTCTGTTTTCGAAGACCTGGGCCATATCTTCGGTTTGGCGGATATGCGGCCGCCGTTGCCGCCCCGTCGCTGCCTCGTCGCCGCCCGTCATCTGGGCCGTGTCTTCGGGCTTTCTTGCAGATGTTTAAGAAAACCTTGGTTTCCAACGTTTTCATATTATGCTACCACAAACGGACCTGTCGCGCGCACGCGCGTGTCGAAATCGTTGGAACGCGTTTGCGCGCGTTCTGCCGCAACAACCCCATGCCAAAAAAAGACGAAGTGCACACGCGCGCGTCGTCGCGCGCGCATGCCGACATTTGCCAAAACCTGCAGTGTCATAGGATTTCAAAATCGAGCGTCCCGAAAACAGATAAAACACACATGTTTTTGAAACGCCAGCTATCCAAAAAAACTGCGCGCACGATCTTGCCATTTTACCCCCCCCCCCCCCCCCAAAAAAAAGTGTTTCAACACTGTCGTCAAAATGTGCCAAACAGGCCTCTCGCGCCGCATGTCGAACTCATCCGAACGGCCTTGCGCGCGTGCTGGGGGGCACGATCCGTGTCCAATGATACCACGCGGGCCACTCACGCGCGTCGGCCGCGCGCGCATGTCGAATTCCTTCCAAAACCTTCATCACCGACGCGAGGACATCGTCATCGTTATCGGCGGGCGTGATCAACATCAGCGCCGTCATTGGCCTTGCTGTCGTCATCGCCACCATCAACACCATCATCGGTACTCTCATTATCGTGTCTACCGTTGTCGGCGTCGCCATGATACCGCGCCCGCCCAAATCACCGATTCGCACTGAAGCGCCCGCTGGAAGTGCCCAGCGGTCAGCGCCACCACGGCCGCGTCGGCCGCGCCGCACGAGCTGGTCGCTGCGCGCGCGAGCATGCGCGGGCTAGCGCGGCCGCAGAGATGCATCAGCCAACGCCAAGCACTCATCGCAATCGCCGTCGCCTGGGTTTTGCAAACCAACTTGCGGGCGGGTGGGTGGGATGATTGCGCGAGCAGTGGAGTTGACAACTCACTGCGAACAGCTGTACATTCTCCTCTCTGTTTAAAAAATAGACGCTACCTCCCCCCCCCCCCCCGAGATTATCGGCATCCCTGTTCGTAGTGCAATTTACGTATGATGCTACCCCATCGTCAATTCGACATATATGGATTCATACATCCCAGCCAAGCCGATTTCGGCCCCCCAGCCATCCTCTGCACACAAACGACGCGCGCACTCGTTTATCAAAGATCGCGTGGTTTCGAAGACCCACTGAACAACAAAAAAGCACGCGCGCGTCGTCGCGCGCGCATGGCGGAATCTTCGAGGGGGAAAGATAAAACAAACAAAAAAACAAAAAAACAAGAAAGAAAAATTACGCTACCGAGGAACCCCACATACTTATATGATGGCTGGAGAGATTACAGCTGAAGTGAAGCATGTGAGAATGATGTTGGTGGCCGTTGCCCCGCCGATACCGCTGTGCCCTGGACGACCGTCATGGATAGCGGCCGCGGTGAGAGACCACCCCCTGCGCAGCCCCCTTATGGCGTCGAGAATATGTCATGCCTGCTGTGCCCTGGACGACCGTCACGGATAGCGGCCGCGGTGAGAGACCACCCCCTGCGCACCCCCTTATGGCGTCGAGAATATGCCATGCCTGCTGTGCCCTGGACGACCGTCACGGATAGCGGCCGCGGTGAGAGACCACCCCCTGCGCACCCCCTATGGTGTCGAGAATATGCCATGCCTGCTGTGCCCTGGACGACCGTCACGGAGCGGTAAGAGACCATCCCTTGCGCACCCCCTCTGGACGACTGTCACGGATAGCGGCCGCGGTGAGAGACCACCCCCTGCGCACCCCCTATGGTGTCGAGAATATGCCATGCCTGCTGTGCCCTGGACGACCGTCACGGATAGCGGCCGCGGTAAGAGACCACCCCTTGCGCACCCCCTACGCTGTCGAGAATATGCCATGCCTGCTGTGCCCTGGACGACCGTCACGGATAGCGGCCGCGGTGAGAGACCACCCCCTGCGCACCCCGTATGGTGTCGAGAATATGCCATGCCTGCTGTGCCTGGGCGACCGTCACGGATAGCGGCCGCGGTGAGAGACCACCCCCTGCGCACCCCCTATGGTGTCGAGAATATGCCATGCCTGCTGTGCCCTGGACGACCGTCACGGATAGCGGCCGCGGTGAGAGACCACCCCCTGCGCACCCCCTATGGTGTCGAGAATATGCCATGCCTGCTGTGCCCTGGACGACTGTCACGGATAGCGGCCGCGGTGAGAGACCACCCCTTGCGCCCCCCCCACATGAGCCGAGGTGGCTACGAATTCTTGATGACGGTTACACTCACCTCGCTTGCGTTCCCCTGTGCCCTGAACGCGACCGGTCCAGATAGGAAACTTGCGTACCGATGTGCCCTGAGCACCGCCGTCACGGATAGCGGCCGCGGTGAGAGCCCACCCCCTGCGCACCCCCTCTGGTGTCGAGAATATGCCATGCCTGCTGCCCTGGACGACCGGCACGGATAGCGGCCGCGGTGAGAGACCACCCCCTGCGCACCCCCTATGGTGTCGAGAATATGCCATGCCTGCTGTGCCCTGGACGACCGTCACGGATAGCGGCCGCGGTGAGAGACCACCCCCTGCGCACCCCCTATGGTGTCGAGAATATGCCATGCCTGCTGTGCCCTGTGCCCTGGACGACCGTCACGGATAGCGGCCGCGGTGAGAGACCACCCCCTGCGCACCCCCTATGGTGTCGAGAATATGCCATGCCTGCTGTGCCCTGGACGACCGTCACGGATAGCGGCCGCGGTGAGAGACCACCCCCTGCGCACCCCCTCTGGTGTCGAGAATATGCCATGCCTGCTGTGCCCTGGACGACCGGCACGGATAGCGGCCGCGGTGAGAGACCACCCCCTGCGCACCCCCTATGGTGTCGAGAATATGCCATGCCTGCTGTGCCCTGGACGACCGGCACGGATAGCGGCCGCGGTGAGAGACCACCCCCTGCGCACCCCCTATGGTGTCGAGAATATGCCATGCCTGCTGTGCCCTGGACGACCGGCACGGATAGCGGCCGCGATGAGAGACCACCCCCCTGCGCACCCCCTATGGTGTCGAGAATATGCCATGCCTGCTGTGCCCTGGACGACCGTCACGGATAGCGGCCGCGGTGAGAGACCACACCCTGCGCACCCCCTATGGTGTTGAGAATATGCCATGCCTGCTGTGCCCTGCACGACCGGCACGGATAGCGGCCGCGGTGAGAGACCACCCCCTGCGCACCCCCTATGGTGTCGAGAAAGTGCCACGTCTGCCACGCCCTGCGACCCTGGGGCGGATAGAGACCGCGGTGAGGGACCACTCCCTGCACACGTCCTGTAGGGACGAGAAAGTGCCACACACGGATGGTGTTGTGTAGTGTGGTGTGGTGTGGTGTGGTGTGGTGTGGTGTGGTGTGGTGTGGTGCGGTGTGGTGTGGTGTGGTGGTGTGTGGTGTGGCGTGGTGTGGTGTGGTGCGATGTGGCGTGGTGTGGTGTGGTGTGTGTACGAGCGAGAAGGAGGAGGTGAGGTGGGAACGCAGGTGTGACGCGGGTGTAGAGAAGGGGAGGTGAGTGAACGCGGGTGCGACGCGGGTGTAGAGAAAATCAGAACCCCACTTAGAATTTGGGGAAATAGAACCCCCCCCCAAAAAAACGCTGGTTCCGTAAGAATTTCAAAACCCAGCGCCCAAGCAGCAGATAAAAATCACATGGTTTCGCAACACGGATGTTCAAAAAAAGCTCGCGCGCGCGCCCTGGCGAATTCTTCAGCAAACCCAGCGTTTTTCGACATTGACAAACATGTTATGGAACGTGCTTCGCGCGCGCACGTCGACGTCGTTCGAACGCCCCGGCGCGCGCGCCGTCGCACGCGCGCGCCTCGTCGCGCGCGCATGCCAACATCAATCAGAAACCTTCGGCGTCGCAACGGTTTCAAAACCGAGTGCCAAAAAAAACATGCAAAATCAACGGTTTTGCAACATCAGCTTTCAAACAAGCGCGCGCCCACGCTCTTGCGAATTCTGATGGCAACCAATGGGCTTCTCAACATGCCCACGGTATTCTGCCAGACGGGCCTCCCGCGCCGCATGCCGACATCACTCCCGCGCCCTTGCGCGCGCCGGGGGGGGGGGCGCGATCCGCGTCACATGATGCCGCGCGGGCCACTCTCGCGCGCCGGCCGCGTGCGCATGTCGAACTCCTTCCAAAACCTTCATCACCGACGCGAGGACGCCGTCACCGTCGTCGGCGAAATCAGCATCGGCGCCCGCGCCGGCCGCGCCTTCGCCGATGTCAACATCGTCAACCGCATCGTCCACCGCAGTCGACGATACCACCGCGCCCGCCCAAGTCGCCGACTCGCAGTGAAGCGCCCGCTGGGATGCGACCAGCGGCCAGCGCCACCGCGGCCGCATCGGTCGCGCCAAACTAGCTGGCCGCGCGCATGGGTTGGCGCGGCCGCAGAGATGCACCAGCCAACGCCAAGCGCGCATCGCAATCGCCACCACATGGGCTTTGCAAATCAAGTTGCGGGTGGGCGGGTGGGATGTTTTCAAAAGCACGGGATGCGCCAACCCGCCCGTTAAAATCAATTCCCCCCTCTCACGAGAAAATCCATATAGTCCACCCGTCACCCCACCCCCCGCGGGACTATCACTTCCCTTTTTCGCA